AATCCTTTTAATTATGAACAAAAATCGAATACTTTAAATGCCAAAACTCTAATGCGAAATTTTTGAATCCCCGTCTTCCCCAACAACAACAATACATCACAACAACAACAACAACGACACCGACACATGACAACAACAACAACAATACAAAATATCAATGCAAAAATATCAAAAAAAATATAAATCACACAAATGTGTTAGGTCCATGAGCGCCAAACCGCACGCATGCGCACCCGCTCCGAGTGGTTCTTGGGGCCGCGGGATGCGGTCGTCTCGCTGCAGCTGCCGGTGGACACATGCAGCAACTGCTGCTTGGCGGTGGCCGCCGCCGCTGCCGCTGGCTACTTGGGTGGCGGCAGCACGCGCGACATGCGGCAGACAGTTGGCGGCGTCGGTGGTGCGGCCGACATCGAGGCGGAGCGCAGTCAGGCCGCGCTGCTTTATCACTTCTATCGCCGGCAGCAGCGTGAACGTGAGCTGGAACGGGAGCAGCAGCCGCAGCTGGACGATATGATGGACACCGAGGATAGCTACAGCGACAGCCGTCAGCAGCAGCAGCATCAGCAACAAAAGCAACAGCAGCAACATATACATTCCAAGGGTCTGCTGCGACCACCGCAGCAGCAGCAACAGCGTCGCCTGTTGCTGGACGCCAATTCGGGTAGTTATAATAAGGCAGCAGCACTAACCAACAATCACCAATTCACCAACAACGCACCTGCTGGCCAGCAAATGCTTAACAACAACAACAACAGCAGAGGCAGCGGCAGCGGCAACAGCAACATGTTGCAGCATGCTCGTAGCTTTCATCTACACGAAACAACATTCAACAACAATTCGTGCTACTACTCAACACAAAATCTGCCAGCTGCTGCGGCTGCAACTGCAACTGCTGCTGGGGCTGTTGGTGTTGTTGTTGCGCGTGTTGACAGCGCCAGCAACAACGTTGATTCTGACAGCGACTGCGATTCGCTAGATGGTCACACGTTGCACACGCTGCAGGCGCATGAGCTGCAGCAGCACGTGCAGCCAACTTTGCGCCAATTGCGGCATTCCACGCCGCTAATGTTGCGCCGTCAGCGTCAGCGCTTGGGCAGTAATGCGTCCGCTTTATCGCTGTATCAGTCGTTCGAGACGCAGCGCGGCGTTAGCAGCAGCGCCATTATTTATCGCAACAGCCGCAATAACAGTTCTATCAACATTAGCAACATCAACAACAACAGTCATGCCAGCAGCAGCAGCAACAGCAACAATAACAGCAGCAGCAACAACAACTTTGTCACAGTCATTTTTAATGTTTTGGATTTCTTGTTTTAAATTCTTTTCAAATCTGTTTCCATTTGTAAAACCATCGCTTAACCAAAACAGTTTGCAAGTGGCATGTCCTGTGTGTTGTAGATAAATCCAGTAAATTCCCGACGAACTCATTGTGCTCATTCATGAACTAACTATGTAAATGATATATGGGAAATGGTTCAGCGATCGCTGAACTTTGCCCAATCAACTGTGTCGAAGCATCGTCATGAATGTTGTTAACTTATTAACTTGAAATTTCTGTATACCATGCATTAAATAACGATTGTTTAATAATTTATTTAACGAACGAAAGCTTTCATTTCGTCAATCAATTAGCCCGCGTTGTCAGATATGATAAGATGACTGAGCCAGTCATATTTAATATGTATCTCTGCAGAGTTAAGTTCTAAATGATACTTGCATTACTTTAAGTAGCCTTTCTAGGCAATTCTCAAAGTCCAAAGTTAGCTCATTATGAGTGAGAATCAAAACCAGAAACAGAAATAGGATTAATTCAAATATTCGTAATTCGAATATTCGTAATCCATCCATTTGCATGCATTAAATATGTTTACGTTTACCAACACTTGTCGGTGATTAAAAAACAAAAATGATATACAACTTAATTTTGTTATCTAAATATTTATTTATAATTCTAATTATAAACATTTATAATTATTTAATATTGTTTTATGTAGAACGCGTGCGCCTTAAGAAATTTTCAACATTTTCTTATATTTTTTTCTGAATGCTTTTTATGTATAAACAATTAGTATTTTGTTTGTATACAATAAATATTTACAATTATTTATTAAATGTTAAGCTTTTGTTTTGTTTATATGTTGTTTTTTTTGTTTTTTTTTTTTGTATATATGACATTTAAAAATTGATGTAAACACACTTCACACAACACACCTACACACATTTATCGTAATTGTTGTTTTTACTATTATTGTTTTATGTGTACTAACTAAACCCAAAAGAAAAAATATGTGTTTAATGTTTGTGTTTTTCATGTTTGTTTTGAGTTGTTTTTGCTTTTAACAAACAAAACAGTTGCAACACGCCCAGCTGGAACAGCAACAACAACAACAACAATTAGCTGTACCAACTACCATCCAACTAAACCCATACATTAAACAAAAAAGAATATACACTTAAAAAAGTCCTATTCTTTATGTGAAGCCCTGTTTAATTCATAAACAAATTTTATTTTTCGTTTTTCTTCTTTCTCTCCCCTTCCGCCATCCGATGTATATATACATATATATGCAATCAATACGTAACCTGTGTATATAAATCCGCATTTAATCAGTTGGCAACATCCGTTTGAGTAACAGCGCCGAGTCCATACAGTACGCAACGCGTCGACCCAACATCGTCGGCAATCCCAACAACAGCGGCAGCAATCCCAACAGCAACACACGCCGCCTGCTCATCAATGTGCCGCGGCAGTATCCACTGCGCTCGTCGCTGCGACGCCACAAGGAGAAACAGATTGGCGGCAGCCAAAGCAACAGCAGCAACAGCATCAGCAACGAGCAGTTGACCGGCAGCGCAACGCCAGCAGCAACGGTTGCAGCTGCAACGGGAGCGCCACTGAACAAGCCACTGTTGCTGGTGGGTCTGTTGCCGGGTGCTGAGCAGCCGCCATCTGTGCGCAATTCCATAGCGGACTGTGGCAGTCATAACTATGCTCAAATGGACACCATGGAGCACCAGCTGAGCTTGGAGTGCAGCACAACGTTGAGCTTCAAACCGCCGCGGCTGTAACAGCAGCAGCAACAGTAGGCCAAGTTGGAGGCAAGCGACGCAGGCTCAAGCAACATTTCAAAAATCGATTTAATTAATTAAATATTTGACTAGCGTTTAATTAAATTTTAAATGAAATTTAACACCCACACACACACACAAACACATTTATATATTGAAATACATATATATGTATTTGTATTTATGTGTATAGCAAGAAAAGGCTGATTTTCTTTAGTTAATAACGATACAATTTAACGGATATTGCAACAAATTGCCAAATTGCCAAATTTTATTTGAGACAACTGGAAAAAGCAAGAAAAACTGTACGAAATGAAATTAATGTATTATTTGGATTTGGTTATTCGAATATGTTTTAGTTTTAGTTTAATTCCTCTTTCTAAAGAATCTCTGCAATTAAATTTAATTCAAAACTGAGAACAGAATTCGAAGCACTCGTAAACATTGTCAACAGAGAACTCTTAGGCTAGATGCATTTCTTTTTGCGACAATTGACCTAAGCATAAGCAGAAATATCAAAAACAAAAAAAAAAAACAACGACGAAAACAACAAATATTAAAAGCTAGATTCAGATTCAATATATTGTACCTAGGATATACACGATTTTTCAAGTTTTTAAGCAAAGACTCGCCCTGCAATCAAAATAAGAGAGTTCAATATTGTTAGAATCGTAACTCGAAAACTCAATATTATATATTATATACGTAATAGTACAAAAATCAAGGTCGAAAAAATTAAAGAAACAAAAAAAAGAGGAAAACAATCTAAATAATTGAGAAATATGAAAACTATTATATTACTACACACATACCTATAAATACCGATTGTATATATACAAATATGTAGCATTTAATTAATAATATTCTGTAATATCTAGGCGCCAAGAAAATTCAAACAAAGTTGTAATTATATTTATAGCTAATGTCTGTGTGTCCAAAAAATACTATATGTTATACATGTTTACGTATAAAAAAAAAACAACTAAAACTAGTGCTAGCACAGCTCGAGCAATACGATCGAGTCGAGGCAACATAACCCACAGTAAAGGTGCAGAAGTGAAAATAGTTTAAACTTAAATAATGAACAAATTACAAGTAATGAAAAAAAAAAAACAGACACAGACTTAAGAACTTTTGCCCAGTTAAAGCCAAGCAATCCCAACTGAATAATTGAACAACTGAACAGTATGTCATTATCATCTGCATAATGTACGCTCCAAACTCGTTCACTGCCCCGCTAAATCCTCCACACAATGCCTCAATCTGTACCATTTCCTAGCCTTTTACCATTTAACTAAATAACTTGCTGATATTTCGCGCAGTTTTGCGAAAAATCCATCAAAGTTACGAAAAAAATTCACTCGCTGTGCTACAGAGTGTTTGTTTAACAAAAAAGAAAGAAATGGAAACTTGAATTTATATTTACATATATGTAATTAGGCTTAGTTAAAGTTGAAAACAAAACTTAAGAAGTTGGCCATTTCATACATAGTATGAAGCCAATCTGCTGGACCTACTAAAAAGTGAAATGAATACAAGCAACACCAATTTGTTGATTAGCAAAACTTTTATTACCAACATCATTTTTTATAATGCCCGTTTATGTTAGGCTATAAGCTATATATATAATAAATATATATTATTGTATATGTATAAATCTTACATAGTACGATTTCGAGTGAAGTACATTCATTAGTTCTTAAATATTATAAATCTTATGTTAATTGTATATGAATCATAAAAAAAAACAAAAGATAACACAACAAACGTAAAGTGGAATTACCATAAAAAGTGTGCAGGGTTTATTTCCATACATAGATAAAATACATACTATTTATATAATTCTGCTGCGAATGCATTTCGAATATATTTTTAAAAAATTGGCTTCATTTGTATATATATGTATACATATATAAAAAGAAAAAATAAATTAACATTCTTTGTTTCTTTTTTCATAACGGAAAGGAAAAGTTTCATAGAAATTGTATACAAAACTGCAAGAGATGTAATTGAATGGGAAAAATAAATAACTAAATTCATACATTTGAGACCGAAAACTTATTGAAAATTGAAGTGCGATCCGCTTAAATGCGAGACTTTCGAACACATTATTTGGTCAGCTCTCTTTTAGCTTATGTCCTATATAACTCACAATCAGAGCTTAATTGTACAAGGCCTTGTCTACAATGATGCCATGCTCGATGAGAAAACTTTCCACGTCCGAGGCAAAGAAGTCATCGCTTAAGTCGTCGGTTAGTCGCACAAAGTTGCCAATTAGCGCCTGTGCCTTGTATACTAATAGGGCGGGCAGGCCCTTGGTGCGGAAGTCACGACTCATGCCCGCCACAGAGCTACAGATCTTGGCAAATTTAATGGATGGATATTCGCTGGCCAGCGTGTCTAAGCAGCCATTGAGCGTGGCGCAGGCTGATTGTGTGCGCTCGTAAATATGTATTATGATGGTTGTGTGCTTATTCTCTTGCTCCACGCAAGAGAGAAACTCCCCGTGGGTACCGAGCTGCAGTACCTTACCGAATTGTTGATGGTGGCCTGTTTGGCGCAGCATTTCGGCCATACGCTGCTTTTGATATTGCTGCAGGAAATCTTCGCTCATTAATTCCGCGAATTCTGCGTCCAGTTCCTCTTGGCGCTTACGTTCCTCGTCTTCTGCAGATGTTGCAGTCGTCATGCTAAGCTTTTTAGCCAAAGCCAAACGCTGGCGTTCGGTTTCTTCACGACGCTCGGCTTCGAGCTGTTTAAAGCGCTGCCAGTCCTGCACAACTCCTTTGGGTCCTGTATTGGTCGAACCTTGCTGGCGAAAGCCGCCCGGTGGTGCTGCATTAGGATCTGTATTGATTGTCAGTCCGGAGCCACCAGCAGTTCCTTTGCTACCACGAGCAGCTTGTTCGTCATCGCCGTCGTCTCCATTGTCTTCGCCTTCGCTGCTGCTGCAGTAGTACTCTAATTTTTCACCTAATAATTTATCCTCTAATGTGGCCATGATTGTAGTTTAATTGTTCTAATTTTCTAATTTAATTATAGAAAACTTATCAAAAACTCACTCCGAAGTCTATAAAAGTATCGATATATTTAAAGCAACAGCTGTTTGTGTGCTCGTATTTGGTGAATGACAAATATGCCAAAAGTTATCGCAAATTCTAGCAACATATCGATATAGCTAGTGCGAACTATTCAAAAAGAGATTTAATGCTTTATTTTGTGTGTTATACGAATTATTTTGAAGATTTTCTGTAGGCTATCGGGCACTTCAAACTGGTCAATTATCTGTTCCATGCTATTGAAGTCAGCCTTTTCTAGTTCATCGCATGAATCATCATCACTGCACGCAGGATTCGATAGAGTCAAACGCTCGGCAAATGAAACAATGCCGCACCAGGCGCGAAAATCCAAAACTCCATTGCCATCCGACTTGTAGCCCAAATGCATGAGTGTATTTTGAACATTTTGCTCATTTCCATGAAACTCTAAAACATCCTCCAGGGCCTGCGGCAGGCTACGCCAGACCATTGTGCGCTCTTTGTACTCAATAAGGAGCGCATCATCCGTTTCCGCTTCCGGTTCTTCGCAGCGGCTTAAATACTTGAGAAAAACGCGTTTATAGAGCTGCTTGCGTTGCTGTGAGACCCAAACATATTTGCTTAGATAATCCCAAGGCGTCATGTCTATAAGAATACAAATTATTATTGTATTAAGAGCCTTAAAGCTGTGTTAGGTACAAACTCTTTAGCATGGATAGATCCATGGGTACATCGAATCTCGTGGCGGATTTCGAGAATTTGCGTGGCATTTTGGAGTTCAGATTCGCAGTTGTTTTGTCCACTTCCTCTACTGGCTTATGCACAGGCTTTGGTATATACTTGATGGCCTCGCGCAGTGCACGATTTAGCTGCAGGAAAATCCATATAAAAGATATTTGGATACTCGAGCTATACTAACATATCTGCCAAATGTGTTCTCAATTAAATCTACAGTCAGATCCGTTTTGAGCGCCTGAAAGGCCTCATCGGTTAGGAAACTGCCCTTCAGCAAAATGGGCTCTCGCTCCAGCTCACGTCGATCCTTGGGCAGCAAGCCAGCCGTGTTGGGTATCAGACTGGGTCTAGTGCTGGCATTCAGTGAATCGGGTCCCAATGCAGCCACCTGAGTCTCGGGATCCTCGCTTAAGTGAAATGTTGTCGTGGCTAAGAGTATGTCAAATATTAATTGTATATGGATAATAAAAAGTTTATGCAATTTTAGTATATTTTTAGTCAAAGTCTGTAATTATTATTTAGTCTGATTCTTGATTGCTAATCCCTGTTTACGCACCCTGCGTTGGCTTCAGCCTTTTGCGCTTTTTGCCTCGTCGCGCATCGTCGTCGCTCATGTCGTGCTCATTGATGCAGATCTTGTGTGGCTTCTGTTCCAGTTCAGCATGTTGATCACCGCCCGGTGCTAGAGTCGCCGTACCGAGCGAAGATTTGGGTCTTTGCTCAGTGGACTGCTGGGCCCGCTTCTTATCCTCATTGGCGCCCGCACTCTTTGGCTTCTTGCCCTCCTCGATGCCGCTCTGTGTTAGCTCCGAGCTGGGCTTCCAGTAGAGCGTCTCTTGCGAGTGCGTGCGTCGCAGATCCAATATAATCTTCTTGCGCTGAATATTCTCATGCTTGCCCCACTCCGGCGTGATGCAGCGCCGATAGAAAGATCCGGCGCTGGTTCGTGTATGGATGCTGGTCACAGTTGGCGTCGGTGTCATGGGCCTGGAGTCCGTTTCAGCATAACGTCGAAACAAATCCTCGGGTATATTGTCCGCTTCATGCGGCTGCAGTTGCTGCTCCAGCGGCTTCTCCTTGGCCACCTGCGCCGGACACTTGCCCTCAATGGCCAGCGATGTTTTCAACTGGTTGATGACATCCTTCACAGCCGGCGGCGCGGGATGATTGCATAGCACGGAACAGCCTTTGGCGAATGGATTAAAAAGCCCACCAAATGGACGCAGCGATAGCGGCATCGGCTGAGCCTCAAATTTCAATGGCATACGCGAATCGTCGGCGTGGTGATTCTTGCGCTGTGGATGCTTTAGATGAACATCTACAACATATACTTGTGGACTCTTCCTTTACCTTTCTCATGTATTTGATATGCCGCTTCGGCGTGGGCACCAGCCCACTGCGTGTGGTGCCACTCATCGTTCACGGAAAACTATTGCGAAAAGTCGCCAAAGCCCTCGGCGCTTCATAAACAAACCAAAAACGTTGCCATGGCGTGCGCCAAGCCAGAGTTTTGTTTTGTTATATGGATGGCAGTTCTATTCCCCCCATGCATTCGCAGATACCATTTTTTTGCCTCGAGGTGTATGTGTTCAATATGTTTCCAATCCGAATGCTAACTACGGTAAGCTGTAAGAAGGAAATGAAAATTGGAATTTTGCGAAATATTTGTTACTATTTCGACTGTTGACTTGGCACTTGGTATGCCAATAGCACTAAGAAATCACTCTAAAATGCAGTGCTTCTGGGCGTATCTCAATTTCTAGAGACTATCTCAATTCATTTGTTTTGCTGCAATCTTTGTATATTTAGAAATTTTTTCCAGCTCAAATTTACAACTTTTAACTAGTAACCAATCTTTGAAGATTATATAAAATAATGTTCTCTGATACCAATTCACATAAGATCTCCGTTGAAAAAAAACTAGTAACAAATCTTTGAAGATTATTTAAAATAATGTTCCCTGATGATTTCACATAACATCTTCAAGGAAACGGATATTGAACTAGGCTTGATCGTTTAGCAGTAAGTCTTAGAAACTGATGTCTCTTTTCAGCCTATGCCAAACATGGTATGTTTTTCGAATTAAATTTAATCTTATTTTTGAAAGTTTTTTGTAACTATATGATTTTTATTTTTTTTTTATTATTTTATTTTATTATTTTTATTTAATATTTTTCATGTAATACCTATAGATGTCAGTTGAAATTAACGTACTAATTCCTTTAATGTCTTTTATAAAAAATAGTATAACTTCCAGAATTATGTATTTTGAGCTAATGAAAACAACAAAATTTTATTCAGCTATAAATAAGCTAAAAAGTATCTAAATAAATTAAAAATATTAAATTTGAAATGAAATATTAAAATATTTAGTTTCCCTTATATAAGCAAAGTCCTACTAAATATCATCTTAAAATCTCATAGTATCAAGGAGTATCTTTTGAAAATAAGTTCTTTGTGTGGAAAACTTTTGAGTTTTTGAAAATATCTTAATATCTTTGAAGTAACTTAATATCGTAATAGATAAGCAAGCATATAGCTAATTATTATATGTATATTATTCATATATTATTACCTATTTAATTAGCAGATTATTGTTGATACCAAATATAAGTGTTTCATACACTCCCTACAAAAATGTAGCCTGTTAAAAAATACTTTTTTCTTGTTCTTAAATTACTTGAAATAAAGTAAACTCCATTTTAGCTCAAAACTATTCGAACTTCCAGCTTTCCTTTTTAAAGTCCATCGATAGAGTTAGGCAAAGAAAGAGAGAGAGCGAGAAAGCGAGAGAGAGAGAGAGAGAGAGACACAGGCATGTTTAACTACAACATTTGTATAAACACTTTATTATTTTATAGATCAGTTTGTTGTTGTTGTCGTCGCTTATAACTAGGAATTAAGTAATTGAAATTTGAGCGTGTGGCATTGGCAGCGCTCCTCAGTACAAGGAGCCACGATGGTGCAAATGCCTCAAGCGCTGATCCAGCAGCTGGCGCTCACTGGACAGTGACACCGACGACGAGGATCGATGTATGGACGGCAGCACGTCACTGTCCCTGGCCGGTCCTGGCGCTGTGCCAGTGGCAATTGTGACGTTGGGCATCGTTGTCTCAATGGGTCCGAGGCCGGCGGTGTTCCCCACAGCGCGGGAGCGCAGCAAGTGGTTACGCAACGTGGAGCGGGAGCGGCGACGCAGCGAATTGTTGAATGAGATCTGCAACGAAAGGCGCTTCTCGGAGAGCGAGGCCAGGTGCTCTGGTGACAGCTCAATTACCTGCGAGGTGAGCTGCGAGCCACTGGCGCCGGCCGCTGCCATGGCAGCTGCTGTGGCGGCACTGTAACTGGGCAGGGAGCCAGTGGGCGAGCTGCCACCGCAATTGCAGGTGATGGAGGTAATTGAAATGTTATCCACATTCACATCGGCTGCGGTGCTCTCAACCAGGCTATAGGAAACGGCTGGCTCCTTGGCGCCGCCAGTCTCATTGTTGACGTTCTCGAAGATCTTGATGACGGGCACAAAGGCAGGCGTTAGTATAATGCCCGCTTTGCGGAACTCCTCGAGTGCATCATCGTAGGTGGGCAGACCGGAGACAATGGTATATGAGGGCAGCGATTCGGCTTCATATTCAGGCGGGCAATGGCGGCAGACGTCAATGGTGGATTCACCATGATTGGCACGATCTGAAAGTAAAGTAAGTCAAAAAATATTTTATAATAATTTTAAGAGTCAGTTGGCTGGCAACATGGTCCATGGATTAGCCAATGTTAAATACGTATATAGAGATGCATTTCTGTATATGGGCTGCGCACTGATCTGCCAGCTGCGCCAGGTTCCACCCACTGCCAGTCTCTCAACTCGCTGCCGGAACTTGCAGCAAAAAGGCAAAAGCAATCCGAATTGCCAAATCAATTCCGTTCTACCTTTGGGACTATGCCATGTCCCCCATCTTTATCTACTGGTAGTTTCTGGAGCGAGGGCAGGCATGTACATTAATGAAATTTTTATGTTCGAATGTCGCAACGTTTTGTTAAAAGCTACTAAAAACTCCTGCCACCGGAAATGTGCAACCTGCGTCCAACCCTTAAAAGTAGGCAACAGAATTTTTTATTGCAATTGCCCTGTTGTACAATGTGGGGAACTGTCCAATGCCCCCTCAACATGGAGGTGAGTCAGCAAGCCACCCACTTGGACTTGTGGAGAAAACTGTTGATGCGGCAAGCGTTTAGAGACGTGCTACACGATTTTGAAGATTAGCCGCATGCTGCGTGGCTTTAAAAAACACACGAAAATGGGAAAATGGCGCACGCTTCGGTTCACACCCTTTTGTGTGGGGGGAAATTCAAAAGCTGGCGCCGCGGGGGTGGTACCGGAAAAACCGGGAGCGTTTTCACACCCACATGAACGGACGTTCATTTTTTATGCAACGCTTTGTAAGCTTACGAAATTAAATTGATGATGCACACAGGGCACAGGACGAGCAGACAAAATGGAAACTCATTGTCATTTGTTTGGCGGGGGATGGAGGTGCAAGGGTAGTTTAACCATACGGCAAACCCATTTTGACTCTGTTAAGCTGCTCTGTTGTGCAAACAGCTTAGCTTAGCTTAAGACTTAATGTAATTTTCAATTGACTTTTGTTTAATTGCGGTAAGGCGACCGGATTCAATGACATATCGAAGCTGCATACGATCGCTGACTGTGTCTGTGATGGAGCAGCAACAGTTCATAGCTTATCCTCAATTTAAATAGTATTGCTTTTCTACTTTTCTATTTAGCATCGATCTATTTTGATGTTTCTTAAACATCGATAAGTGCAATTGAGTAGCGACTAATAGTGCATTTACCATCATCTTTACCAAAGAGCATTTTTTACTTACTCGATGATTTTTAGCTTACGTTGATTTACCATATTGCGTGAAGAGTATCGATAGCAGCGATAAGGCAGAGAGTGCTCAAAACTAATTTCTAACAGTCTGGCAGCATTTTCTTTGCTCAAAACGTCGATTCTTTAAGTCTCGGTGTTAAAGCTGCATCAAATATTAAATTATGAGCTGGCTGGAGGGCCACTTAAAAGCTTCATTTGATGAACTGTCTGTCGCCATAAGCCCCAAGGATATACGCATTTCAATTCCCCAAGCGCAGCTTAGCACCACAATAAAATGAAGTGCAGCAGTAAAACGAATGAAACGGTATATACAAATATATATATATATATATCTATATATATTTATATATATAAATAAAGAAAAATACGAGAGAAGGCACAAAGTGTAAGTGCGTTGTGCATAAAGTATGCGCCGCCAGTTATAAGCCAACAGCAAAATGGACACCAAAAACCTCACTAGTCAATATGCTAAAGGTCATGAAGAACCCAAACAGAATCCACTAGGAAGCAGCGCCAGCTTAGAGCAAGAAGCAAGAAGCAAAAGGCAAAAAGCATAACCTAAGGCAGGCCAAAGATATTTGGGCGTTCACGAAAAAGTTAAACACAGTTTATGTTAAGGGGGGCTATGCGTTAGTGCTTCTATGGTCTTCTTCTTTTTTGCGGATTTGGGCGCCAATACCGAAGGAAAAAAGAAAACAAACGACTCAGCCCAAAGCAGCCAAAAATGACGTGCCCAGTAGGAAGGTTGGCGAATGGCGACAAGACTCTGCCCCTCGCCTGGCAGGCATAACCAAGAATAACAACAGCCCCATTGAACGGGGGCTAAGGTCTTGCTGTGTGATGCTCGCCAGGCACGTAAGCAGTTGCTGCCCTTGCGGTGGCCCCAACCCCCCATTCATCAAGGCAAAGGCGCAAAAAAGAAAACAGCAGAAGCCACAGTTTTGGATGCTGCTGCTGCTGCTGGTGCTGTCGTTCGCATGTACTTTGTCCTTTGTCCTTGGGGTTGGTAAACACGGCACCAAATTGCCGTTTAAATTTCTCCCTTCGTGTGGGGCCAGGGCGGCCTTGAAACATTATTTTGACTACTGTTAGTTGCTTGCCTCCAAAATACCTCGATGCCCATCCAGCCACCCGGCCCCCTTGGCAGCTCTGCTTCAACTTTATATTTGAAGTTGTGGCAGTCAGACAATGTCTGGAGAATTATCCGGTAGGCGTTAACTGCAACCAATACCTCCCAGTGGAGTCTGACTCTTGTCAAGCACTTGAGACTCCAAAAGGCTTATGCGTCTGGTGCGAAGGTAAGGGGATTTCGCTTAACTAATTAAACTTGTTCCCAGGTACATGCAAATATTTTTTCGGTCCACTCTCAACATGTTTTCCGAGTCTACTTCTGAGGAAATTGCAATGTTTTTCTTTGGCTGCGGCGTTGTGGAAACAAGAAAAATGATTATGAACATGTTGGCATGGCTGAACCGAACATGGAACACGACACGAATGTTGTATGTGTTTCGATCTCAAAGGCTTTTAAATGAGCTACAAGAATAAACCCAGAAAAATATAAAATAACTGTGAGCTTAATATAAGACAGTAGAACGTTTATGTAACCTTAGGAATCTTCTACTATTTTAGTTTTGTCGAGCTCCTCATGGTCGGCATGGCGCATTAGAACTAACTGTTAAATTATTAGGAAAGTAACCCATCCATCTCGGAGATCTTTTGGGGAGAGCCAAGCCGCCGACTTCACCGTGCACAGGCGAAAAAAATGAAGAAAAATTACGGCATGTCAGTTAAAGGCACAACAACAATAAAAAGGGACAAAACAGACAACATGAAGAAGACATTGCCAGAGCAGCGAACACGCGCCAAAAGCATTCAACAACAACATTAACAATGGAGGAGGAGCCAGCACCAGCATCATCTACAGCGTCCAGGACCAAAAAGTAATAAGTGTGTCTATTTGTTCGCAAATATTTCATTTCCCGTGCCTTTATTTCACTTCACCGGCGCAAAGACGCCCGCCACAATGCGTTCGTTCATAGTCGCTTAGAAAAATGAGGAAATCACGAAAATGAAACCCCGAAAACTTAATTTAACTTTATGATAACAATGACCAAGATATTAGGCGACAATGTTTTCACATCTGATTATCTCCTGGCTGGGCCAGGTAAGCTGCGAAGCTAATAACGCTAATGAAGCTATTCGTTCTATACCTCAATTAATTATGGCTTTGTATTAGATATATTTCGTTTGGATTGCAAGTGCAAAGCAGCACAGGTGTTTGTATTAATTAGGTACAAATTAGATTCTACTTAGATATATGCTTTTGTATTATTTAATTATGTTATTAACTGTGCCTCTGTGCAGCTGTTTTTCTGTATCGTAATGTTTCATCTAGATCTTCCTATAGCTTGCCCTGATCTTTTATCGAGATAACATTTTCGAATAGCTTAAACAACTTTTTAAGGATGCATCCAGCTTTAACTCGCTTAAATTGGAGGCATTTAAGTAACACATGTGGAGAATTGAATTGATTTTTATATACTTAACATGCTTTGTTGTTGTTTATTTTTAATTTAAGTTGAAAGCATTTGACTTATAATGCCGCATAGGCATTTGGAGTAATTTATGCAGTGCACCACGCACATGTTGCCACAGCGTTAAATGTTATTAAAAACAATATAAACAACTTGCCAATGGTGCGGCTCGGGCCGGGGTTTTTAGTGGGGTTCCGGTCGGAGTCGTCGTAGCACGTTGTTTATGTGCGTCGGCGGCGTCAATGAAAAGTGGACCGCAAAGTACCAGTTGGTACTACCAGCAGCAGCAGCAGCAGCAGCAGCATGTTTAGTAGTGGGGCGGGCTGCAGGGGGACCTCGACATTGCTGCGGCTGGCTTTGCCGCAATTTTCAAATTGACTTTTGCACATGTTGCCCGGCGTAACAAAATGCGGCCAAACAATGTACACACTCCGGGCATGATAAAAAAGAAGAAAATATACACACAATAGGCCTGTGTACTACCATTTAGGTGTGCATGTGTGTATGTGTGTTAACCACGAAATAGCACAAAAAGACCAAGATGAAGAAAACCCGCATAAAACGAAGAAAAATAACACTAAAAGATGCACTGGAGGCCACATTTAGAACGTGCCAATTGAGTGCGTGAGCCGCATAGTCAAAAAGTTTTGGCTTGACTGCCAAATATGGTTTGGCAAGCGTGAAATATCTATCAAAACGACATTAGCTGGGCCAAGCAGCAGCTGTATTACTTTCAAATGTACGTTATATTTTCATTATCGATAATATATGAAATGATATCGGTTGATCATTTTGTTAGCGGTCTGCACTGAACACTTCCACATGTTAAACGACACAATTAACAATATTATGTTAATAACAGTACAACAACAGTTTTGTCTTGCCATATCGTTTATAATATTCAAGATCCTAACAGGGTGGCAATAGTGATCTGCTTTGTTATTGTCTGGCAACACCAATGAGTGAACTAGCTCGCCATCTGCCATCTACTCAAAGAACAAAAAAGACGTAGTAAGTGAGAGCGAAAAAAGAGAGAGAGAGCGAAAGAGCGTAAAAAAAGTCTGCCAGCGGCGTCAGTGGATTTAGTTTTGTTGTAGTGGCCTGAGTGGTGCGCGTTGCTGTGCTCTCAAAGTAACAATAATTATAATAATTTAAACGAAAAAAAGGTGTAGTTAATTAATATAAATCGCAAACTTTTTATTTGCTGTTTTGTGACATGTTAAAAATGACAAATGTGCCGATGCCGAACACGCTCAAGCTG